CTGTGCTGATTCCTATTTACAGCTATATTTGAAAACTCAAGTGTTGATAATTTTTGAGAATCCATTGACTTATAATTATTTTTAAAAAAATTTAGACTGCGTATACATTAATTAATTATAATTGGAATATATAACTATATTAAAAAGTTATTAACTAAAGAAATATTATTTCTAATGTAAAAATAAATAAATAATTATCGAATTATGAGTATAAAATAATTATTTTATTCCAAAAAATACGTATATACATAGCAGACCTTTCTTTTATTTTCTTAAATATTTTAGCGTTGTTAGCGTATGATAATGTAATAAAAAATTTCCAAGATTTTTCATATGAACTTGAAAATTTTTTTGTTAAAACAATAATTTAAAAAATTTTGAATATTTTTCAAATTTTTTCAGATTAACATACGCGGTAAAAAATTATAAGGTTAACAACTCGAAATAAGATAAATCAACTCAATCTTAGAAACAAATATGGTGAACTAACTGTCCGCTTGTTTCAAGAAAAATTTTAACATTCGTTTTTTTAACATCTTGCTTAAGCAAGATTAAGCAAATTTTTTCTTAAACTAAGCAGACAATTTGCCATATTTGACTTTGAGATTGAGGTGGTTTACCTCATTTCGAGTTGTTTCATCTTATCATTAATTTTTACTGTGTATGTTAATCTGAAAAAATCTGAAAAATATTCGGAATTTTTCAAATTATTGTCTTAATACATCTAAAAAAGGTTCAAATTCGTATGAAAAAATCTTAGAAATTTCCTATAAAAGTTATAAATTTACATAGAAATTCTAAAATATTATATGAAAAATTCTGAAAAAATTTTGAGAAATGTTCCAATTCGTGTAAAAAATCTGAAAAACTTTCTAAAAAAATTATAAAATTTATATAGAAATTCTAAAAAATTCTGAAAAATTATATGAAAAATTCTGAAATAAATTTTCGCCAGGGGTGCTATTTAGTGCTAAAAGCTGTTTATTGGACTAAAAGATAGTGCTAATGGACGCAGTCGTGACGTCACTGATGGATGACTGATTTACGTCATAACTTCGTGCTACAGACGCTATTCCTTCCGAGATAGTGTATTGCTTGGCGTTAGCGTTTGCATGCTGTGAACGCCACAAATAGCGCGCTATGTTTCGAATTGTTTATCGTTTGACGATTTCAATTTAAAATAGACAAATACGTTAAACATAAAGCTGTGAAATGCTCAAAATGAGGAAAAGTACGAGCTACAATTATCAATTCAAACAGTGCTTTTAAAGCATTGCTTTTATATTTACAAATGTGTTTGATGTTATTTAAAATATACTACTCCACAAAATTAAAGGATCACCTTCTATCCTCTAAAAATAGGCAAATTTTAAAATAGAGTAACT